AAAAAAAAAAAATCAAAAGTCATATTTTACTAATTTTAATCTTCTGTAGTTGACCTAAAGGTAAAGGCTTGTTTTTTCTTGCTTTGCATTGATGTATTTAATTCTGATTTTAAAATTCAGAATTCCGCTTCTGGTCTTCTATATAACAACTTTCATATCAACTTGCTTACATCATCTGAAATGTAAAGTCAGTGTTGCAGGCATGCATTTGTTTTTACATTATGATATATCCTGTTTCTTTGCTTTTCAAAATTCTAACACAGCTTTTCCTTTCTTCTGTGGCAGGATGACAAGGACCTGGTTCATGAGTTCGTTGTCGCTGAAGGTCTGACTTGCTTAATCAAAGTGGGAGCAGAGGCCGACCAGAATTATCAGAACTACATCCTGAGAGGTAAAGGAATGCATCCAAAAGTTGCTTTTATTGCTCTCAAAGGTCTGCTGCAACTTGCCGCGTTAAGTGTCTTGGAACGTGTTTCTCAGTTTGATCCTGATTGTTGCATGTTAGGCAGGAAAATTACGGGGTGATTAATACTCACTGCTGAGCAGGATGAATTGGAAAATTCAAATATTGATAGTCTCTCCATTGTTCAGCTTTTCTTGTAGATTATACTGAAAAACTGTAATTCCAAGAAGGAAAAGGCCTTTTAAAGCTTTCACCAGATAGTTGTAAATGTCAAAGGGCACAGAGCAAAATAACTTGGAATGTGATTAGTAGCTATGGAATAAACAGTGAGATGTTAAGGTCAGTTAGCTAGTAATAATTTTTAGCGCTCTGATATTTTGGAGTTAAACAGGTAATGAGAAGTTTACATTCTGTTCTTTGCACTTAAAAGATAACTGACAAAGGTAGGGTTTGGAGAGTGATGCGGAAAACGTGTGTTGCTGGATTAGAAAGCTGATTTACTGTATTGTGGCCCAAATGAATGCGTGTGATTTTCATCGAACCAGGAAACTCAGGCTGCAAGTTCAGAGAGTTCCTTCAGTGTTTTGAGGAGTTATGAGTGAGGGGAGAACAGTCACACCAAGGGATCTTTGCTGCTGGATGATCTCATAGTAAATAGTGCTAATGAATGCATACTTGTGGTGGATTGCTCATTTGAATTTTCTTAGACTGACGTATATAGCTGTCTTTACAAATGTCACTTTGATGTATTTAGCTGCCAAAACTCAAACTGCAAATTGAGAAGTAAAACAAACACAAAAATGCGGAGAAGGATTTTGTAAGAACCAGAAATGCTGTTCTAGAAAGCAAGGGTGCAGATAGTAAGTGTGGCTTCATGCAAAGAGCTTGAAGATTAGACTGCACAAATACCAGCTTTTGGGGGTATAAAAGAAACCAAACCAATACCACAGAATTATATTCTATGTCAGTAGTTGTGCAGTGATATGAATGTACTTGAATAGTAGCTTGTGTGTACTCAAAGTAAAAGAGCGTTAACCACAGTGAAGCTAGACAAGGACACAGAAACATGCAAAAGAAAAAAGACTTTCTTTACAGCTGAAAGAAAAAGTTTCTGGGAGAAAACTGGCTGTAGATGGTCTCAGAAAATTCAGTCTGGAAGCAAAATAAAGGTGCTGTATTGGACAGTTTGGCCTTCAGTCTGGGGGCTTACTCCTTTATCAGCTCGGCATTGATCTAGTGTGGCTGGATGATGTCTTTGTCCTTCAGCTGGGTTTTGCAGCCAAATAGTGAAAATTCAAAACAAGGAAGCCTGATAGGTGTTTACACTACCTGTATATCCAAGTGGCCTCATAATCCAAACACTGGATAGCCCTGCAGCTCTTCTGCTCCAGTGTCAGAAGAGGTCCAGGGCACTGAGCCTCACAGCTGACAGAATGATCTGCTGGTACCAGAGAACTGAGTCACATCTGAGCGATCTCACTGCAGTATTGTGTGTGCCTTCATCTTACTGAGATCCCATTTGACATCATCTAGGTATGGATTGAGAAGAATTAAAACTCCCTTCCATGCTGATTGCTTTTTTCTTTTTCTTCTTTTTTAACAGGAATGAAATTTTATCTGTCTATTTTATTAGGATATACTCTAGTGCATCCAGAATTCAGGGAGATCACAGTCTCTTTCTTGCTGTGGCTTCTCTAGCAGTGCTGTGTCTGAGAGCTTGGTGTCCATGGCCTGAAATTAGAGATTTCTTGCTGAATTCAATGAATGATAAAACAGAGCCTTAGTGCCAGTGTCCACGGCATCATACTAAGGAAACTGCAAACTCATCTTTTTATACTGTTATTAACGAGTGATCACAGCTTGTTCAAAATAGATGTAAAACAAGCAAACAAAACAACAACAAAAACTAACCATGTAGCACTATGCCATAAAGCCAAAACCCTTATTTTAAGAAGACGCTTTTAGGGATCGGTACCTTCTGAAATCAGGGGATTTTTTCCCCTATTTTGCTGGTGCACGAAGCTGAAGTTTCTCTCGGGGTAGCGTATCCTAGTATCTTTTACAGCAATAGGATTTTTCTGTGTGATGTGGGGTTTATTTCAGAAACTAGATCTGTCTCAATGGTCTTTCAGGAAGTTCAAAGCTTGTTAGAACTCTGACATTATGTCAGCTGGTTTGCAGTTCCAGGAGCCAGTGTGTACTTTCTGAATAGGTCTGCATGTGCAATGAGATAAAGATAGGTTTGGAAGTACACAGTGTAGCCAGACAATCTTATCCAAATACACTGAGGAGGGTGCTGAAAAGAAACATTAAATACGTCATGTAAGAGTGTTTTTCTGGTATATTATTTTTGGAAGAGCATAGCGATTGCTTGGATTATTTTTTTTTTTATGACAGTCGTGTATATTATTGCAGTGCTGCATTTTACTAAACCTGGAGTACTGGTGAATAGGTGAATAAATTTCACTGAAGATACATTGCAGTTAAGGCTGAGGTGGCCCCATAAGCTTTAAGCTCAGTGTTAAGTTATGGAGATTAGAAATAAATAAAAAGTCATCTTTGTCTAGCCTTTTTACGCCTTACTGCTGTGGCGTCCTTGTTCTGCAGATCCTTTTGGAGTGGAATATATCCTCCTTATTTTCACCACATTTAACCTGAATCATAAAGGGATAGGATTTCTCCTTGGTTCTGTGTTCTGGCTGCATTTCTCTGGCGCGTTTAGTGTAATGCACTGTTTTGCTCTTGTGATCCTAACCCAGCTTGCAGGGCTTGTGACAGTAAATGGCAGCCTTAGGCATGGCATGGCCTCCTCCGCCCCCAGGGCTCACCCGTGTGGGGTTCCCCGGCATCTTGACTGAGTGATTTCCGAGTGTCTCCTGGGAACTTGTTTGCCTGCACTCTTCAAGAAACAGATTTGGACCTAGGAGGGAAAATAAGTTGGACATATATGTATATGTAAGGGTTGTAGGTGGTTCAATGTGTTCCCAGGTACAAGTTATTTCTTGACATTGCTTTGCTTTTTCTAAAGGTCTGCATTGTTTCACTCTAGTGTTTCCTGGTTGTGAATTTCTACTTAGCGGTTTTGACTCGGTTCAAGCCAGACCAAGCTGCCAAAAATATGACTAAATATGAGTC